TCAATGAACATCAGCCCTTTGCTGCTCTGTGTCCTGGCTGGCCCTTAGGGTGCCTTGTAGTCTCGTAGAAGGGACCAGGACAGTACAGGTTCAAGTCCCGCTCATTCCGTTGACAAGTGCCTGTTCAATTCACATATTTCACAACTCTTTCCTGAGTGAGCCTTTGTCACTTCTCGTCCTGTAACAGTTTCTTCCCATCTCTCATCCACTTGGCCATGGCGCTCTTCAGAAAGATCATGCCAGACGTGCTTGGCTGTGTTGCCTGCAACCACTGCTCTGATCACTAAATGACACCCTTTTCAAAGCCAAGAAAAGAGTGCAGTGATCCTGGATTTTGGCACTCTACCACTATGAAGCCAATAAGTCTATATGCCTCCAGCAAAGCATGTGCATCATGCCTTTTTTCTAGGAGTTGGTCCATGTGGAAGGTTAAAAAAAATATTTATTTATTTATTACAGCTTGTGGTCACAGTGTAATTGTTGGGAGGTATTCTTTTACATGTGAAGTTCTGGGCATCTGATTCAAATGAGGAAATATGAAAATTGCTTTGGCTGCATCAAGTAACATTTCTGGGAATGTGCTTGTTGCCTCCGTGCAATGCACCCATCCACTGCTGTGCATCAAAGAGTGATTTGGCATTCGTAGAGTCAATGGACACCAGTTTAGCTCCAGAATCAGACAGAGGTCCTGCAAGGAGGACAAAAAAACATACATTCCTATGATTTTAAAATGTAAGAATGTAAATGCACAGTCAGGGAAAAAATGTGATTTCATTAATGTTCAGCTTTGGCATTTCCAGTGTGCATATGCTAGACTCTACAACTGTTGCATTTCCTTTTTCATTATAACTTCTGCATGCAATAAAACACTGACATACAAACGTATACACATTTTATGTATATTTTTACATTAAAAAAGTATGCCTTATAGATGCAATAGAATGGGAACGAGACAAATTTTTTTGTCAGACTTCTTAAAAGAAATGTATGTTATTGAATCCTTTCTTAAGCTCCGTTGCTCTCCTTCGACATTTAAAGACCCACATGCAGGTATCCAAATTTGGAAATAAATAAAATGAAGCATGGTATAAGGTATCTAGGCTCACACTTCTATTTCTTTCTGAACGAGGATGAATAAAATAACAGGACTGGCATAGCTCAAACATAGATGCTACAAATAAACTGTTTGAGTTTACATCAGATCTTATTTCAACTGCCCTTCTCCAGGAATTATGGGACCTGCTAGAAAGGGACTTAAAAGCTCCTGCCACCTAAGCGCCAGCCCCCCTCTGCCCTGGCTCGCTCCGCGCGGAGGCTGCCGTGCTGTCGGGGCGAGCGTGGAGTCAGCTTCCTTCCCCTTCCCTTTGGTGTCTGTTGTCATCAGCCCTGGCTGCCACTAGCAGTCAATTTGTAGCTGCATCAGTGTGTGTATTACTGTTCACATCGATAGTGCAATTAATGTTGAAGTCAATTTTGGTGTTAATTTTAGGCCATGATTAGTGTTGACACTGTGTGTCAAACTAGCGGCATTTATGAGTGCCGTGAAAACGAACGTTAGTTAATATCATATTTTTACTATCTGTTAATGGTTACATTAAGCCAAAGATCTAGTGGGAGGAGGTGTGTATAAAATTATATATATAAAACTTGTGTGTAATATATGTGTGTCATGCTATTCTGCATTGCTGGTGTTATTCAGGGAGCAAATGACATCTGAGCGCTGAATCCTAATCACAGTTTGGAACATCAGAAATAATGATCACTTCTGATCGGAGGTTGTGAATAATTCATCTGCTTTGATTTTCACGTTCTGTCCAGTGATACTTTTCAAACCAAATGTGTTCCTACAGGAGAATAATGGTCCCACTTCTTATGGAAATACTGTGGCACAAATCATTTTGCCAACATAAAAACAGTTAAATAAGACGGTTCTGGCTTTTATTTTTTCCTCCCTCTCTTCTTCGTTCCTGGAGCTGCTGGGAATAGAGCTGTGGCAAGAGAAGCCACTTCCAGGCTGCACTTGCTCTTAAAAAGAGCCTGTTTGAAACCACTGCCGCTTACCATCACCCATTATTGTTCTAACAGTGCTCTTAGGTGATTAGCTCAGCCTGTCTAATTAACCTGTGAACTCTCCATTTTTGGCATGCCGCCGTTAACTTAAAAATCTCATCATTTTTTTTTCTGAAATAGAAAGCTATCCTCCTCTACCCATAAATTTAAACAGAATCTACATTGTTCATGGGAAAAAAAAAAGCTTTAGCTGTGCCCTGTGATTTTTATTACTGGATAAACGGCACAAAATATACTATGTATTGGGGGCGCAGAAGGCATACAAGTTATTAAAGCGGTGCACTTTAATTTCCTTCTTTTTTTTAAAGAGCATATGATTACACCATATTTATCAATTGCAAACTGTTTTCAAGAGTTTATGTAGCTACTGTGCCTTGGTTAAATAGTTTTTCCTATTCTACTAGCCAGCAGTAGCAAAAGGGATTTTGTTTGTGTAGTAGTGAATATGCAATCCCAGATTAGGATAGCTATTCAAAGGCTTCTGCTATGATTTGCGTTTTTTTAGTAGGAAGCGTTTTGAGTATGGATGTTTTTGTACCAATGCCAAAAATCAACAAGTTGATGAAATTGAGAAAAATTTCTTACATCCTGGGAGGTAGAGACAGCCTGTGAGACTAGTCTTGGAAACGAACCTACCTATGTCACTGGTGCAGGCGTTAATTCCTCTGCCTGCTGCATAAGCTGAGGATGCCAGCAATTTGCTTTCAGTGTGTTGTGATCGTTGTGTAGGCTTCTCGCAGTGCCCCTGCGTGTTTCTGTCTTGCTCTTTACTGCAGCACCAAGGAAGGATTTAGTGAATGCAAAGCCTGAGCGTGTCTCTGGTAACTCGTGTAGCTTGTGTTCCTCCTTCGGTGCTTCCTGGCACGGCCCGGGCCGATGGTGTCAGGGTAGCTGTATGGGGCCAGCTACTTCAATGCGTCCCTGTAAATTAGTGTTAATTCTGTGTGATGTTGGAAGAAGTTTATGGTGCAATTTTAAGGAGAACAGTACTCCATCTTCCCTTTGGATTTCTATCAAGAACTGAAGTTCTTCACTAGGCTGGTATCTGCTTTGGCAAGCGCCCACTAGCAGGTTTTATTTATGGTGGAGAAGAATAAGCCTGCAAAATACAGTAGAGAACCAATGGCCATCCCCTATTCCTTAGAGGCTGATCTTGTAGCCTTAAACTTTGGATTTGCAGATTTTTCTGTCTGCTATTTCTAATTACAAGCTTGTCCACCACTGAGAGTCCGAGGTAGAGACGCTTAATATCCAGCCCTTGACATCTCTCTTCCTGTAACACTGAGGTCAGAAGGAGAAACCTTACCTTACCTTCTCTTTTTTTTTTTTTTTCCCCCTTTTTCTCCTGTGAAAGTCCAGTAATAGAAAGCAGAAGTCCCAAGATACCCTCTCACTGTGTGGATTTATTTGGGATCAAAGAGGTTGCTTTTTCAGTCTCTGGACAGTTTGTCTGTGTGACCCCTGAGGTCTTTGCTAAGGAACCTTTCGTTTGTGCCTGGCCACCAGCTGCATCCACTTGTACAGCGTTAAAACTTCCCCTCTAATTTTGCAACAATTCCCGTATTTTAACAAAGCAACCCATTGACCTTTGGGGATTTATGCTCCTGTCTTTGGGACTGCTGCAGGATCTCTCTCTTCCAAACTACTGTAGGATGCTGAGATGTAATTGTAAATCTGCAAATATTCAAAAGCAAACAAACAAATTAATCCCTTACAACATATCAGTCAAAACAGCATTGAGTGAAACTGAGACCAGTGAGAGTTAACCTGCAATCTCAGCTCTCAGAAGGGGAGGTGTAGGGGAAGGATCTGCCAGTAGCCAGCTCTAATATTTTTGGATTGCTGCCTGCTTTACTTCCAATGACCCTTTGATTAGTTCTTCTATCTTTTTATTTTTTTAATGAGCCTGTTATGGCATATCTTATTGCAGATGCTGATTGGATCTCAACTGTGTATTGTGCCATTTTGATTTGGATTAAATAGCACATATCTGTCTGCAGCTTCTCCCCTCTCCCCCTCCCACTGTAGTTCATAATGTTCACTATGCCGAGTCTCCGCACTGAGAGTTTCAGCTCTCCTGATTGCAGAGGATGTGCAATCGGCTTGAGGAATGTGTACTCAGAGCTTATGATCCTTGGGCAAGCTGAGACTGGGTGATGCATGGGGGCTTCAGGCGATGCTGCTATTTCCATCTGTTAATGGCATTCCACGATGGCCAGCTCCCTTGTGCAGTAATATGCAGAGGCAAAGAGACGGGAGGTGCAGGGCACAGATGTTGCTCATCTCCATAAAATGGTCCAGAAGAGATCCTCTGTTGATTTACAAAGAAAAGAAAAATACGCAGTAAAAGCATTAGTTATCCAGGTGGGCCTGGAAAGAAACTGCTGCGCTATTTGGGAAGGAAAAGGGGAAGAGCCAAAGGAATGAAAGGAAAGACAGAAAAAATGGAGGTAGTTCCAAAATAAAAGGATTATTAAAGTGAGGATGGGGTGAGAGAGAACCAGCGTGATGAAGTTCTGTGGTCATCAGCTGGGCAGCCTAAACAGGTGGTCAAGAGTCCAGTAGAGCAGAACATCCAGCCTAACTCTGTGTGCTCTGTCACATGAAAGAAAATCAGCAGGTGGTGAGAGGGGCGTTTGCAGAATGTGTTTTGGACCTGTGACAAATCCCTGAACGTGTGGTGGGAGGGCCGGTGTTAGTGCCTCAGGTGGGAAGAAAGCAGTGGAGTGGAGGATATGCTCCAGTGATGGCGGTAAGGCTCAAGTCTTGCCAGCTGTGCTGAACACTGGCAGTGCGCATGGAGTTCCCAAAGAAAATTTATAAAGTACAACACATGCAAGAAAATGGCCCATGTGTTGGTTCACTCTTTTACATCTTGAAGGTATGCATTTACTTAATTTTTTTTTCCTCTCTCTGTTTTTTGATTGCAGATTGGGATGGTGGCCTGGAAAATGACTCTCAAAACCCCTGAATATCCAGAAGGCCGTGATATCATTGTCATTGGCAATGACATTACATACCGAATAGGTTCTTTTGGGCCTCAAGAGGATGTGCTGTTCCTGAGAGCGTCTGAGCTTGCTCGGACACATGGCATCCCCCGTATCTATGTGGCTGCCAACAGTGGAGCCAGGATTGGTTTGGCTGAGGAGATTCGGCACATGTTCCACGTTGCCTGGGAAGACCCAGATGACCCATACAAAGTAAGGATGCAATAGAATCAGAGGTGAAACTGTAGCACATAAGATAATCTTATTTTTACACCGGCTGTTTTAACAGAGGTGAGCGACATGTTTGCCAGACTGTTAGGTCCAAAGTTCTCCTTGGTATCAAGTCTCTTAGGCAGCAGAATTTGCATCCGGAATGAATTAGTGCTGAACAATGAAAGAACCCCAGGGTTCACTGGCCTCAGCTAGAGCTCTGGTGCTCTGGTGATGCCCTGAGGTGATGAAGGATGTTCTTACCACTCTCTGGGGTTAAACTGAAGCTCTCTTTTTGGAAGGGGTTACTGGAGGTTTGGAGAGGACTACAGATGAGAATGAGATGAATGAGCTGTTTTTCCCTGCAGGGATACAAATACTTGTACCTGACTCCTCAAGACTATAAGAAAGTTAGTGCCTTGAACTCAGTTCATTGTGAACATGTGGAGGACAATGGAGAATCCAGGTAAGCACAGACGACCCAGAAGGAAAACCTTTCTGTTAGTCCTTGGGCATACAACAAGATGATATACTCAAGTCTTTTGTCTTCAGCTAGGATATCCTTTATGATCAACTTATGTAGAAAGCCATAGCTCTGCGCGCTCAGAGAACAGAGCAATAGAGTGAAAAGTCTTGAAATCATGAAATGTCTTGTTTGAGGCAGTGCCATGTTGACACTGTGGTACTGCCTAGGGGTCCCAGTCATGACTGAGGGTCTGGCAGTGGTAAACACTGTATGACAAGGAAGATGATTCTTGCCCAGTGGCTTGCAGTCTAAATTTTGAAAATAACTTTCTGCTAGACTCTGTAGCAAGGATAGGAGAATTTATCTTGAGTGAAGGCTAAGCCCTGCATGCATTTTTATTGCATTTTTATGGGTTGGGGTGCAGTAGTTGCACTGGACTGTCTTACAACATACAGTTTTCCACACACATCTAGTCCAGGCACTTGTATCTTCCCAACTACATCCCATAAGTAGGACCTGTGAAGATGAGGTGCTAAGGAACTTTGGGAGCCAGAATGTAGCTGCAGTGGTGCTCCTGGGGGAGGGAGGAGGATGTGCTTAGGAAGGAAAGAGAGAGACCCTAGTTTGCAGACTGGCAAGCTCTGGATGAGCAAAAGGCTAGTGCAGGGTGGGTGGACATGTACATGCCTGTGTATGCACTAGAGTTGGTGGCTCACTTCAGTGAAGCACTTAAGCACATGCCGAAGTACTTAGCAAGGGCCTAGTGGAAAAGACAGAAGCCAGTCTGAGAGAGCTGGATAAGGAGGGACAGGACTGGGGAAGAAAGGCATGAAAGAAGGAAGTGAAGAAAAAGTAAGAGCCTAATTATAATCTCTTGTTCCGTTTTTCTCCTTTTGGCTGCATTCTCTTCCTCCCTTTCCCTTTGTTCTATGATCAGTCTGCTCCTCGTATCCTATGGGAATGGCAGAGGAACATTTCTCATGGGTGTTCCTCTCCCTTGGCATTTCCTCTTTGCAGTGCTGCTTTGACTGCTCCTACATAGGACTGCCCCATGGTGTTCAGCAAAGCTGCAGAACAAGCTTACGTATAGGTCCTGGCCGAGTTTTATGCACATTAGTCTTTGGCGCCTTAATGATATTTAGTCGCTTCTCATTTTCGTTGTAGCAAACTGATTCAGCAAATCACTGGACCTTGTGACTCAAAGGCTATATGTGTCTCCCTCAGGTATAAGATAACAGATATTATCGGAAAGGAAGACGGACTTGGAATAGAGAACCTCAGAGGATCTGGCATGATTGCTGGAGAATCATCTTTAGCCTATGAGAGTATTATCACCATCAATCTGGTAATCCCCCACTGCTCTCTGTTCTTCAAACTGTATCATCTGTTTCAGCTGAAAACCTTGCAATGAAATCCAAAAGATACATCTGGGATCAGACTTTTTGTTGATGTAAATTGGCTCATCCCCATTGACTTTAAGCAACACTATTTGCACCGTTACAGGTCTGGATCTGTTTCAGACTAAATTTAAAACACCTTTGGAAAGCAGTCATTTGATTTCATGTTTGCTCTGTCTAAAAGCTACTGCACCTCCTCTTTGAAATAAAATACATACATTATCAGATACTTTGCTTTACAGAAAGAATAGAGTTTTGCACAGAAACATTACAAGTTTTTGTAGCCTTGTAATACAAAGATGGACTGGTTTTATCGAGACATTTGAATTGATAGGTTTTGGATGTTTGGTAGGACAAATCAAATGTGGTCTTTTTTTTTTAGGTTACATGTCGAGCAATTGGAATTGGGGCTTACCTTGTTCGGCTAGGGCAGAGGACTATCCAGGTTGAGAACTCGCACATAATCCTGACCGGCTGTGGAGCCCTCAACAAAGTAAGTTTTTACCTTTCTAACTGATTTCAGTCTTAAGAGCTACGTGAAGCGAGTTGATATTTCTGTGAGTTCAGCCTGAGAGTCAAGGAGCTGCCACCACTGTGCCTGCCATTGCACTTGGTCCCTTTTGCTGTTAGGTTATGGAAAAGCGGTGGAGTGGGCAAGTCTTGTAGGCTGAACTCTCCCTTCTCAGCCTCCTCCAGGTCAGGGCTGTGTCACAGGGCAGTGTCTGGGAAACTTTTTTGCTTTTGCAGCCTTCTTTGGCTTTTGTTTTTCTTTTTTCTCTGTTCAGAAAACAAGTCCTTTCATGCGCCTGTTTCTCATGAGAAGAACATCACACTGACAGCCAGAGGCCCTGCTCCCAGCATCCTAGTTGGAGACTGGGCAGTGGACCTAGCCAGGGCTGCAGGTTTAAGGGCTTGAGCATGAAGAGGTGAAGGGGAGAAGTAGCTTTTAACACAGATTAAAATGCCTGCAATGACTAAGTGACTGAAGTAGAGGAGCCCACCAACCCAGCCCCACCATCTCCCCTCTCCGTGTCCTTTGACAGAGGAAGCAGGGCTGTTTCCAGTGGCACGAGGGTAAATGAAAAGTCAGAAAACTTGGCAGCATATGAAACCTGTATATGAACCAGACGGCTGTCGTGTGTGCTTGTGAAGCCCAGCCGCACCGTGGTTCGTGGTTGTATGCGTGTGTGGTAGTAAGCACTGGCAAAGTGGTGAAAGGCTGGCTAGTGTTTGGGAGGAGGCCTCTGACAGAGGAGCGTGGCTCTGTCTGGAAGACCCAGGTTTCGAAATGTGCAGGCCAGGGTCACCCTGAACTCTCAGCCGTACTGGGGAGCCCCGAAGCCTAAGAAAGAACGCGCTGATGGAAATTATGAAGGGCTGAGACCTGCTGGAAATCTCAGCTGTGGGGGCAGGGAGAACAACTCAGGCTCTAAGGAAACTTACTGCTTTCACTGCTAAAGTGGCTCTTTCTTTTTCACTAAAGGCGATTTTTCTCCCTTGCTGCCCCAAGCCTATTATTATCACAGCCTCCAGCTCCTTGTGTGTAGCAGGCAGGGCTCGCAGCCGACTCGCGCTCGCCCCTCTCGGCGTGGGCTTTGTCCGCGCGGGCGCCGGGATGGCGCGGGCGCGAGTGCCCTCCCCATTGTGCAGCTTTGTTCCCCGGTGCTCTCCGGCACCTGGGGCGGCTGTGCTTCAGCGCAAGCTGCGTTTCGAGGAGTGCCTGCCCGACAATGGGAGATAAAAGGAAAATAGTCTTGTGTTGAATTATTCCACTGAATAAAAGGGGCTCTGCAGAGAATGAAGCATTGATCCTATCAACTCTAGGACGCAGCACCCTCAGTTAGATCTCTTACACACATCACACGCACCTGCATCAATGGAAGGAAAAGAGGCATTTGAAGATTCATCTTTTAAAAAGAAATTGAGTCAGTTTAGTGCTTGCTGAAGTGGAATGTGTTGCCTGGTTCCAGCTGTCATTTGGTGGGGATCGGGGCCCTGCAGAGTTTCCCAGATGGCAGGGCCAGTGTGTTTAGTCCTCCTCTTTTGCTCTCTTCTTTCCAGGTTCAACTGCATTCTCTACCCATGGAGTGAATGTTTGTTTTTATAGGACTACATTAATCTCGCCTAATTTTAGATATTTAAAAGTTATCTAAATTAAGCAGCTGGCATCTGTCAGCAGGCATGGGCAGGAAGAGATACTTTCTGGGGGGGATTTTTCCCATCCCACGAGCTTCAGCAGGGAAAAGTGTGTTCTTTCCCCTCCCTCCCCGCTGCCTATTGGAAAGGCGTATGTATTTATGTAGTCGCTGAGCCTCTTCCTGCCTAAAGGTCAGACAAAGGAGGAGCCTAGTGCAGCCTCCCCAGCTTTCCCAGAAAGGGGCCTGAAGCCCAGACCCCAGCCCTGTCCTTGAGCAGTGGGTGGCTGGGAATCCACACTCACACCTGGATGTTGTGCGATGTGCCTTGCTGTGATTCCTGTGATCTTCGTTTTCCAGTCCCTGCGGTTATATTCAGAGTTTCTTGAATGGATCCGGCTATGATTGTGTCCCCGAACTACATCTGATACAGTGAAATGACCTCCGGGGCTAACCTGGCACGGCCGAGCTCACTCCAGTTGAGCAGGGTGTGACGCAAAAGGTGAATGCTAATACATTTGCCTCATCTTGCCACTGAGGCAATATCTACTTCAGACTTATCCTCCCTCTCCCGCTTCTTGTATTTAAAAGGTTAAACAGCTGTCCCTTGAATTTAGAGGGACAGTTCATTTGACTTTTCTTTTGGCTAGAAGTCAGGCCTATGTCAGCCAGGGGCCAATTAAACAGAGTTTTCTTTTGTAGGACTGTGAAAGTTGTTTGGGCATGATGTGTCTTATTCTTACCAGTGCACAGATAAGGCTCCAGAAGGGTCCTGTGGTAGAAACCCGTTGTGATTTTCTCTGTGGAGCAAGTGAGCCGTGCTTATAATTGTTCCCTTGGATGAGATGTTGAGCCCTGTGCAGCAAAGTCAGCACTTCTCCTTGTGGGCATTAGAAGATCTCTCATTCAACTGATAGAGTCTTGGGTAAAGATCATGACTGAAACATACATGGATAAATGGAAACTGCTACCTTGCATGACGGCTGGAGGTGAATATTTTCTAATGCTGTTGCATACAAATATTCCTTTGGCTTTTTCCAATTAAGTGTCAAAGATTTGGGACAAAATTTTTCATTGCTGACTTTAGTTATTGTCTCCCAGTAGGATGTTGTACATAACTTAGGCATAGTCTTGTGTCTACATACACCTCCTTTTCAAAATGTCGTCTTCCTGTAAGAAGAGAATGTGCAGCGCGGAAATGTTTCCGCAGCAGCGGAGACAATTAGGCTCTCAGAGAACAGTGTGGGCTTTTTTGTGGAAAGTTGTTTGTTCATTTTTGGGGTTTATTTGTTTGTTTGTTTTTTTCCTATGGAATACTGGATTCTTTTTGAAATACAAGGGAAACAGAGGGGACTGTGACAAACATTACAGGCCAGCAGATCTCTTGCTGCTCTCATTCGTTATCGTTATGTAAAGCCAGCCCGAGGGTTTAGGTGTAGAGGGAAAGGTCCAGCTGCCGAAACACGTCTGCAACCTATAACTTAGAGGATGAGCTCAAGGTCGGTGTCATTTTTAGCTGAAGGTAATGTTTGGTCCTGGGGGTTGCTTGATCACGTGCTGGCCGTTCAGTGCCTCTGTGTCACTGCTTTGTAAGTAGAGGGGCGTATCGCCGTTAGACACCTGATACCGGGCAGGTTTAAGGATTCTCTCAGCCCCATTGCCTGTCAGGTGTGAGAAGGAAACTGCACGAGAGCTGTACAAGATTTCCCTCTTCTCATGATTAAACCCTCTTTGTTTGCAGCCTAGACCTATGAGCTAGGGAAAAGCTTGAGGAAAAGGTGTGATGCTCTCTGGTGGGGACAAGGCTCTGCGTGTGGGGCACGGGGGCTGCGTTTCATCCGTACCCCTTTTGTCTTCACCGCTGCATTTCAGCAGGGGGTGGAGAGGTGGAAATGACATTTCATTCCTCTCCTGTGAGTGTGTGCGCGCGCGTGTGCTGAGCCCGCTGACCCCCCTGAAAATTGAAATAATGATAATGCGCGTCTCCTGACTGCATCAAAGTATCAGCACATCAAAAGCCAGGAGGCATGAAATGCAAATGATAAAGTGAAAGCAGATGGATTGTGCATGATCGCCTGATGCCCAATGAATTTTAAAAGGTGCTGGTTCACATGGGGAGAGGGGCTGAAATAAACACGTTATCCCTGCAATTTTTTTTTGTTCTTGCCGCTCACTCCTGACAATATTTTTTCACACTCCAGCCAGCAGCCACTCCATCTCTCTCCCTCCCTCTCCCTCTTTTTCTCTCCCTCTCTCTTTCGCTGTCTACCTCACACACGTCTCGGGTCATGTCGCCGCAGCTCCGGTGGAAATAATAAGATATAAACCACGAGGTTGTTATTTGCATAGAAATAGCATGGAGCCCCAGGCAGCATGGGAGAAGGACACAGAGATCATTTGTCTAAAATTTTAATGAAAACTTTTGCTGAGGCAGAGATTTTTTTTTTTTTAACTTTCCCTGCCTCCCCCCTTTTTTCCACCCCCCCACCCTCCTCCACCTCCCTCAACTCCCTTTCCTCGTCACAAGCTTAACGTGGTGCGATTTCATATGAGATGGGTGACGTGCTGCCTCTTAGTAACAGGTTACTTTCCGCTGCTTCTCTTTTTAATAGAAGTAGGGCTGAAAAGCCCAGCGCTCCCAGTCTAATGGGTTGCTTATACAGTTCAAGCTTTCAGAGCTGCGTTCACGAGAATCTTCCCAAGTCTGTTTCTGACCTTTTCTTAATTAGTTTGCACCTTCTTGTCTTTTGTGTTTAAAAGAAATCTCATCTTTAAGACTGTTGTGTTAAAGTAAACAAACTGGTGACTTTCAATCCATTTTCTCTACGGATTTATGTTCTAGGCTTCTTTTTCTTTTTCTTTTGGGGGGCTGGGGGGTACCAGCTTTGGCAGAGATTTTCAGGAACAGCTAGTGTTTTGAAACACCTCCGTTCACTGTGTTCAGCCTGGTATCTCAAGCAGTCGTTTTCTGAGTGCTAATGAAGAGCTGTCCCATGTTACTGCACTTTATGATGGGACATCTGGTGTGGTTGGTCACTTTTAAAATGTTGGTCTGGGTTTACACGTACCACATTGATGTACATTATTGTTAAAGAGAGACTAGGGATGGCCTGAAGGGCAGGAATATGGAGAATATTGGTACGTGGAGTGTGCCAGAGGAAACATCTTGGTGTTGCGAGCTTTCGTCGGAGCAGCCGGCTGCAGACAGAAGGATCCTGGTTTGATTCGGCTCAGTACTGTGTTGCTCTAGTGAAGTGCAGGAAATTGCATAGTGGATTATCACAGAAATACAGAGGAAGTTTTGTCCTGACTCCTGCTGGTCACTGGCTGACCGCATGTTGGGTGAGGTAAAGAAAAA